CAGACAGTTAGCATTCAAGTGTATATACTGTACTGTATTTACTGTAGACTATAAACTAACAAATGGACAGAAAGCAGATTCTAAAATGAGCACAAATAAGGACTGTTGTGACGTACTTAGCAGAGTAACTGTAAGACGAAAGATATAAGATGTGAAAAAGAGGTTAACTGATTTCTTTCTGCACAAAGACTTCTTGTAAGACATTCCATGCTTAGGCAGCTTTGAGTTATGGCAGGGATAGGACTTAATTAATATGAAATTCCAAGTGCAAGATAAAGACCCCCCCCCACCCAACTAAGGAAAGATAAAACCGACCATTAAGAGTGTTCAAGGTCTTGGGAATGTCCAAACACAGGTGGCCCCCCCATTACCATGGTAACAATTTGCGTCAGAAGAGGCTGAAATTTGCTATATAAACTGGACGCTTTGTACCTATATTTCGAACAATACTTTGGTCTTATTGTTTCTTGCATGCAATAAACTCAGTTCTTTAAACTTCATCTCGGGTTCTAGAACTTATTTGTCTGTTACTACAATAGGGATCTGTATTAGTACCTCTGCTTTTTATAATTTATGACAATAGCTTCTAGATTCTTGTGTGGGTGGTAAAGGCAGGTATCCTGGCTTCTCTAAAGAAATGCTGGATGAGATCTTTCGATCAATGAACTTACAGCTACCAATCAAATTAAATGATACAAATCAAGCTACAGATCAAGGCCAAATCTTGTCAATGAACTTAAATTCACTTATCCTCATGCATGCTGTGAAAATTTAAAAAATCATGTCCTTTTTCTGCAACACATTTGTGGGGCATCAGATGATATTGAGGATGCAGAAAAATATAAAAGTAAAAAAGGATCAGATATTTAATAGCCAATTATGAATACTTTCTTTGAAAGACAAACCAGAAATAAAAGCATGTGAACTAAAATGCTTTAATTCATTTAATCAGTTAATTATGTGATCAGAGACAAATTCTTCAGTTTCAAATAAATTACTGTTGCTTATTTTAACTGCATTAAAATATTATGGCTTTGTTGGGTTTTTTTTTCAGATTGACTCTGAATGCTTTTAATTAACTGACTCCGATTCAGTTACTTAACAAAACTTTTGATTAATCATAAGGCCTTAACTTTTTTATCCAAAACTCAGAAGGTTTTAAAGGTACTGCATCTCGTACTACATCAGTTGAAAAATGTAAAATAAGTCCAGTTGAATAAGTATTTAGATTATAATACTTAGGATAAGTATTTAGATGACTGATAGAAATTTAGAACAAAGTCAAAGGATTGTACCGGTTTCAGTAGGGATTTGACCTCACAATAATATTTCCTTTGCTGCCCAAATTTCCTTACTTCCATCATTCAAAACACACACAATGAGTGTGAACAAAATCAATATGAAATTATTCATGGAATTGTATGGTGACATTTTAAAATATTATTAATTTATCCAACTTGAAACAAATTAAATTAATTTGACAACTAGATTTTTCGGCACGTTTTTTTTCCATTAATTTTGAAATGTTGTCTACGTCTTTAACATGCTGCCTTTCAGCACTTTTTTGAAAGCTGCTGTTGCTGCTGTGGGTTAATAAGGAGAACTGGTTTCCAGCTCTGTTAAATATTTATTAGGTATTTGTGCTGTTTTCCAAACCATACAAAATCAGCACTTTTGTGAATGCCATGCACTTTCTTTCTGTCAGATTCAAATTGAAATTAAGCAAAATCTAGAACAGTTTTCTGCAAATGGTACAGTATATCTATTAATTATATAAAAAGCAAGTGGTTCATTGTCGTTTCCATAATGAATTTTTTTAAATAGGTTGGTATCATCTTACTGTATGTATCCATTCCATGTAATGCAAATAGCGTAATTCAGTACTTTTAAAATCAGGTCACTGGTTTTCACCTATAAAAAACTCCAGAGGTGCCTGTGTAATGACATGTGACTTGTAATAGAATAACATCCATACGTTTGCATTCATTTGCAGAATATATTTCTGTATATACAGTAGATCCTGTAGGCGATTCTTGTTGACATCCATTTCTGACCAGTTAATGTGCTTTTTGTATTCCAGAACATTATTTTTTACAACAAATGTTTTGCTTATTTTTTTTTTCTCAGTAGTGGTCAAGTGGCTTTTAAAGCAATCTCCCTTGTAGAGGTGTTTCTATAATAATCTATTTTATAGCAATTACTTTGTTTAGCATAATTACCAGATAATGGAATCAAGCTAATCATAGAATGTAAATGAATTGGTTGATTACTTGAAATTAATAAGCAATGTCCCAGATTTAAATGGTAATTGCTATTCCAGTCCAAGACCCCAGTGCAATTATTATGAAAGCACCAAAAGGACATTCTGGTCATATATTAATGAGAGGGGAGAAAAAATAGCTCAGATCTTGCATATTACAACTGGGAACACAGAAAATTGCACCTAATTTTGAAATGCATTCAAAAAAGGAAAAGCTCTTTTTTTAGCATTTATTTCACTGTGGTCTCAAGGAAAATGTCTTTGCATTGTGTTGCTCTTGAGGAGTATAAAACTAAGTGAAGTAGAATAAATTATCTATAATTGTGAAAATTGCATTCATTTTGTATTTGGTAGAGTTCTATATATTACATTGATGACTGTGTGATGTGCTGTTGAAAATGATCATTCAAATTTATAGGCTAAAAAGTCTCACTAAGTTAAAGTACTAATTTCATTCTCAGATTAAGTGCCACACAATTTAGGTCATTAAACTATAAGTATGCCCATAAGCTATCACAATTATAAAAGAATGGGTATTTCTGACATAGTATTGTTTACAATATTAGTATTAATTCTAAAAACCTAATATTAATAAACAAAATAAACAGTTGCGAGAATCCAAATGTATTTTTCCTTTATATATTTCTTTACTTTATCTGCAGTAAAGACACTTTAAAAGAAGTATTTTGAAGACATTTTTTTGTTTGCTTTAGAATAAAGCATATATAATATTATTAAAACGAGAAGCTGGTCACATGAACAAATATCTTATTAGCTTTATCCCTGGTTACATTTTGAATAAACCAGATTGTAGGTATAAACTGCAATATAATTATGGGCACTGTACAGTATATTGTAATTACATTGCAATTTTCGTTCGTGCTCGAATTGATATAATCGAAACATCAATATTACAATATTGTTAATTGTTATATCTTTTCTAGACATGAAAAAGAAGCTTTTCTATTCCAATCGTTCTAAATAATGGCGAAATCCTAAACAACTCAATTGGACATGGTGTATTGCTCTTCTGAAAGATGGATAAGCAGCTGAAATATTAGATTATTACAGTCATTTTTGGGGGGTCTAAAACTAAACATGGAACAAGCTAATGGTTATACATTAGCAGACCTTCATCTCAAATCCTGAGACTACAGTAAAAGCTTGGGGATTAATTACTTTTTGTTTCCTGTAGATCTAGCTACTGCAGATGTCATATTCTCCACTCTTTGTCAGATTCAATTTTAGAGGGGCAAGAGCAGGAAACCTTAAGGTAATAGCATATACAAGCTGACTTTCCACTTCTCAGGAAAATATCAAGCCGTTAAATTGAATGCTCCCAGTGGATCCTGCAGTTGTTTTGTTAAATATCAGTCAAACCAAAGGTTTCTATGTATCTTTCACTGAATGGCTGGCAGGGATACCCCTCCAATTTCTGATTTAAAAATGTATCGCTGAGCAAACAGATGTACAACAGATGTATATCAGTAATGACAGAGTTCCCAATACACTATGAAAACAAGTATAGGCAACAGATTTTCTCTGAGGATAATGATTGTAATTAACATATAACAAAACAAAAGAACAGTGTTTTATATGAGTTAGAGCTTGTGCAACGATGGTTCACTGAAAGATTATAAGATGGACCACAGCAATCTAATAAGGTATTGTACATTCATTTATATGTAGTAAACAGATATCAAAATGATCACATCTTCAGGTTATGATGAGTGTTATATTGTCTATCCATAGGCAAAACCTCTGTTCTTAACTCGCACCCTCTCCTATGAAATACGTTAATTCATATATAGATATAGTGCCCTCCATAAATACTGGGACAGTGAAGTTAAACTTTTTGCTGTACCTTTTTTCTGGGTATTTTTGCACATATACAGTATGCTTTAATGTCTTATGGAGGGTAACAGATAGAGATAGAGAGATATAACATAAAACATACAGTATTTAACATATGTTACTGGCAAAAGTTAACTATGTCATGCAGTTAAACAATAATATGAGCGATAATACATGAGCAAATATAGCCGGCTGTCTTTGGCTGCTACAGTATCTTTGACTTAATATCCATAAACACATTGAATAATAAGTCATAAGACAGTTCCATCTCCTGTAGATTTGTAATTGAAAGAAAAGCCCATTAATATTCATACCCATAGTAGATAGATAATGCGTATATAGAAATAAATTTCAATCCATTATGGAGTATGTAACCAGGCAACAGCCTCAGAGGATAGGGAAGACCTTAAGCAGAAAAGAAAAAAATCATAACCTGTAATTAAGATTGAAATATGCTCACAGAAAAGTCATTACAGTGGGAATTTGTGTTTGTCAACACCGGTTCCATGAATCAGGTTAATTGATTAGATTATGACAGCAAATCAATCTGTGATGCTTTTTTTTCATCATCAGCTGCTCAAGCCCAGAGCATTAGAAAGGAAGTCTTAACAATAAACAAAAGGGAATAAGGCAAAGGCATCTGTTCTAGAAACAGGTAATTCTATAACTTCGACTTTGAATTATGCTGAGGTTCAACAACGGTTAAATCACACTTTTTCTGACAATATTTCACTTCAAAAACATTATAGGTTCGGCACTGAGAGAAAGAAAGAAGAGAAAAATATTTTGTCTGGAACCTTTTCGGGTACAGTATGTCAAACATGCAAAGATTATAACATAGAATTTGTGCTGACAGCTCACATTTTTTCTTCTTTCTACTTTTCAGCATGGAAATAACCCACAGATTCAACAACATGGCCAGGTAGCTTGTCCACTTGTATCCTCTGGTTTTTGTCACTGTTGATTCTATAGATGTACTGTATGCTGGGTGGACTTGCTCAGTACCTTTGAGGAAATTTAGATACTTGAATTGGGTCCCCTTTTAGTCTTCTCTATTTAAAAGGTTCAGTTCTTCCTCTAATTACTGTGTCACACATTGAAAAACCTATTAATATAACCTAGCAGAAACATAGCTACGCAAATTCTATACATTGTGTGTGATTAGACAGTCTTCACACACGAATGAATAAACCTACATCAAGGTTTATTCATTCATGTGCCTTCTTAGTCATCAATGTCTTTAGGAATGCAGAGGTATGACAGCCTAAAGAAATCATAAGAAAGAAAAAACAGTTTTTCACTATTTCTATACTGTATGTCTGTTGTTTTTGTATCTGCAGGAATAACTGTGTTCATACTTATGTCTTTCTTTTTGCAGACTATTATGTGATTACTAAATGAATGATAAAATTCAAATCCTCACTGAAGGTCTTGCCTATGATGTGTATGAAGCAAACTGTCACGTTAAATTCTTATGTTTATCAATCGCTTGACACAGTGAGTTTAATAGGTTCCAAAGAAGCACTGACTTTTGTATTTCTTTTGTTTGTACATGTTTCATTTTTCATCTCAGCCTATTATTTCACACTTACAGATACTGTCCAATGCCCCCCCCAAAAAAAAAATCAGCCAGAAAAACAGGTCTCCATGTTTGCTTTCGGACACTCTAAATGTTAAAAGTCAGGTCATTGCTTCTAGTAAAAAAAAAAGTTAAAAATACTTTCACTATGTCTTCCTATTTGATTGCTGCTGTTGTTTTTTTTTTATGCATTGGGTACCAATTAAATCTGTACCACCTGCTGCAAAGTACTAAGTCTGGAAATGAAAGGAGAAGCTTCTGTGATAGGCAGAATCAATTTACCCAAAATAAATAGGATGCCTTGGGTCAATTATTTGCTCTCCCTGCTGTCTCAGAAGAGTGAAATTCAGTCTCCTGTGTTCACTTAAACCTGTTTGTACAATGCCAGACAGTCTATAAATGAACTATCATACGCACACACCAGCTCCTTGTTTTCAGCTGCATATTTTTAGATTTCTGTTTCTACAGCGCGATTTCTACAGGGAAAATGTAAACATGATTGTCATCAGATATTATTAGGAAGCTAACTTTTTAATAAGCGAGAAGCCATGAGGGAAAGTGGTCAACGTTGATGCTAAAACACCAAAAAAGAGGAAAACCTTGTAAAGTCTTGTGTCTTTCTCTTGCAGGAAGAAATCTTATCTCAGATTCTCTTCACCCAGCAATAAATCTTCTGTAATGCATTTTATACATTTTAAAACAAAGCACAGGCTACAGATAAATATGAATTATTTTAAACAAATACTGTAAATATGGTTATCTTTGGAAATCCTCCTTTATCCATCCTCAACTGATGTAAAAATGATGTTTGAATTATATAGAACCAGTAGTAAGTAAATGACTTCTAAAACAGTGAGATATTGAAGTTATTGTTACCACACTATAAAAAATGTATGTTTATCTTATGTGATGCTTATGCTGTAAGCTTCTTTTTCTATGAGTGAAAGCTGAGTGACAGTGATGATAGTATAATTTAGTGTGGGGAAAGAACCTCTCACCTTTTTCTTGTTCAGTATCCGATGCTGTGCCTTTTGCTTTCGAAAGAGTACAAAGAGCACACAAAAATAACGGTGCTCTAACCCTTACTTATCACTGTCATGTCTCTCAAAATAACAGACTTATATTGACCCCTTCCTAGTACTTTATAAGCTTTTAGCAGTGCTGTTAAATATTACATTCAATTAAAGCCACAGCAAGTCTTTTACATACAGTACTAGGCAGGGTATTTTTATTAGTTTGACACGCTTCATAATTTATTGATTGTATGCCTTGTACAACCTCAGAGAAGAGGCAATTTAATATAACTTACAAACATATATGTATATTCTAATGGCTTCATCTATGAATTGGCTTCATATCTCTGTTCTCCTCCCCGCTAATTGCTGGTGTATGGGGAGTGTACTGGCGCACTATGGCTGCCGTCACATCATCCAGGTGGGGCTGCACACTGGTGGAGGGGAGTCCCCATTACCTGTAAAGCGCTTTGAGTGGAGTGTCCAAGCAATTATTATTATTATTATTGTCCCTCATCAACTATTTTGTGTTCTCATGTATTAGTGTCAGGGTTCTAAAATAATACTCTCCACTTCAGGAAATGTGTGGAGCCAGCAAATAAAAAATATTTTAAAATAACCCAGATATTGAGGCTTGTAAGTGAGTGAATGGCAGATCTTTAATGAATACAATAATGTATGCAATTAAAGGAGAATTGCAGTCCCAATTTCTCAGACTGGTTATTAAATCTCGTTAACACAATACTGTTAATTAATTGACATGGTTTCACAAAAAAAGTGTGAACTCTGTGAAAGTACTGTAAGTTGCTACTGTATGTTGTCACAAACAAGGTGCTGCACCCCCTCCTGCTCACTAGTCACCATAAGGACTAATGTAATGTGATGTACTAGTGAATAAGTACAGGCTGTGCAGCAGACATTTCACCACAGAAATCTTTCAACTTGATCAGCATGCAGAGTTAACAAGTAAATAGTATTTGTCCAGAAAACTGTCTCAAAATTGAGAGCAATATTTTTATTGGATTAAAAGAGATATTCACAAGCCTGCTTATTTACAATGTTATAGGGCTGCATCACATCATCAGAAGTTTTATTGTCTCCTCCTGAATCGCAGAATATTGTGTTGCGCATACCTTGAAATTGTCTATTTTGTGATGTAAATTGGAGATTTTTAAAAGTTACTGTGTACGTTTTACTTTTATTGTGGTTTGAAATACACTCATCAATGAAGATAAAAACAGTGTTGCAGCTACCCTTTAAATAAAACTTGAGGATCATCACTGGTATTGCACAAATAATATATTAACAAAATGATGTCGCTTTAATTTACATTACTTCATATAATGAAAATAACAAAGATACGCGACTATTAATACAGTATCTCTTGCATTCGACAAATAAAATAGTTTTTATCCTTTTAAGGAAATACTATATGATTGACTATTAGTACATTCATTTTTATTCAAATATTCAGTTTACAGTGCCTTACATGCAGAAATTTGAGCTTTTTTGCCTTCCTACTGCTTTTTATAGAAATTTGGGGGAATCTTTCACACTCTGTTAGCATTCACCATTTTGTCTTGGAGCAATGGACCTGAGAAAATATTTTCAGTTTTCCGTTAAGAAGCTGGCGAAAATGGTGCTGTCACTGTCAAGTCTAACTCCAGCTCAATTACCATTTACCCACTCTGAGTCTCTTTAAGCTGATGTTCTGTGCTTTATATAGAGATACTCAATAAAACAAATATACAGTTCATTATCTCTTGCACTTGTATGTAACAAAACAAGCAACTGATTTACAGATATGTAGCTACCATATATATTTTGTCTTCACTTTGTAAACCACATGTGGAATGACATTTTTAAGAAGATATACTGTACTGTATGTCTTATGCCATTGTAAATGCAATGTAGGTGTTTTTGAAACCTTCAATTAATCATGCTGTGTCAGAAATTTTTTAATTAGCTCAGGGACTGAAGTCTTCAAATCCACCTGTTTGTTAATTTGGTTCTCTTTTATAATGGGGGTTTACAGAAAGGTTTCTCCATCACTGTTGCACAAAACATCTCCATTACAAAATCTATATACTGTATCTGTTCCCGCTGCCTCAGCAAAAGTATTATCATGCTTTTTCTATGGGTCTTTTTAAGCCTAGTCTGCAGAATTGGATGCCAGTTAGTGTCAACTTAGGGAGTGATTGTGCGATATGAGCTCAACGGTTCAGGAGCACTTGGCAAGACAATTATGCATACTCCCCTTCACCCCTTTGTTGAGCCTTAATAAAACGTATGACAAGAACCAGTTTGCTGCTCTAAAAATACACAAACAGCAATTACCAAGGGCGGCCAACAAGCCTAAATTCACTTAGTGGAATTTTTCGAATATTTTTTAATGAAAATGGTCAATGGTCATCACCTGATTGTTTCTGGCTTCTGTTTATTTTATTTGATCTGTGTTAATATTTATTAACAGAAATGAGATTCAGGGCACTGATTACAGATGGTACTTGGTGAAGCTCCCAAAACTGCAGGAGAATTGAGAAATCATTATAGAGCTCCCTCTAATTGAACAATATGAGAAGTGTGAGTGCCTATGAAAATTGTCATGTTTTATTAATGCCACAAAATTTCCAAATATAATAACATTCTGTAGCCAGTAATTTACCAAGTACAGAACTGCAATGGGACCTTTGCTGTTCTTTCTGTTAAGAAACTTTATTGACATTAAATATAGATGCTTCTTACTTCTTTATTCAGCTCACAGATTGAATTAATGTTAATTATTTGTTACCAAAAAATCATGGATTGGCATTGCTCAGCTACTGATGTTTCTACATGAATGTTGGAGAACTGTAGAGAACATGTTAATATAAATCCCCTACACCTTATCTATCTCTGTAGCTAAGAAGCAGAAAGAGGGAGGGCTGGTGGAGAGCTACAGTATGCAGTTTAATTACCTAGGGAGATTGACTGCACAACATGTCTCTGCTCAATACCTCTGCAACAGCAAGAGGTGTAATTGAAAAGATTTCCTTTACTTTAACTGACTCATTTTGGAGTGCGACCGAAAACCGAGAAAGCATACACAAGCAAAACTAATCTTAAAAAAAATATGAATCTGTAGAAATCTGACTCTGGCCTGGGGTCATAACTCCTGACCAGGCTTGAGTGAATTTTAAACCGACACCTGCTGTTGTACATGATATCTCAGAAATAGCTGAAAAGTGAGATAACATAATCAGAAGGAGCCACTAGACCACAAGGGAAATGATCACTCTTAAACCCCCATTCATAGCAACAGCATGGCTGGACGTACAGAGCCTATAAAACCCTCTGTAACACTGTTGTGGGAAATACGCCTTATATGTCTCCTTCAATGTTCTCAGGAAATCGCCATTTCCGTTACAATTAAACTAATCTCAAACCTTAAATGGGATTTGATTCCTGCATCCATACAAATCCAAAGAAAAAGCATTACGTTCTTGTGTCAGCACCAGTGCTTAATACTCATCTACTTGGCTGTTGCTTTAGGAATTCTTTCTTCCTTCACTTTGAAGTGTCAATGTGTGCACTTCTTCAAATGTCACAACTCGTTAGCATGTCTGACAATGAAGTGAATATGGTAGTAGTGTGAACAATACAGTTGGCTACTTATAGATCTATGCAGAATCATATTAGTCAATATTAGTTTGTGGATTCAGATTCCAGGTGGGGCCTCCTGTTGTACCCATGAGCTAGGTACAGTACTTCATTCAGACTACTCCACTAAAAAGTTAATCTGTATAAATAAATACTAATTTTAGTCGCTTAAGTTAAAACCATTACCCACATAAGACACTAAAAATAGTTCTTTATCCTTTCCTAAATGGTTAAACACCAACAGTAAAAGGTGTCCTTCTTCTAAGTTTAAATTTAGAAGGTGCACAGTACACGATTGTGACATTTTGGAATATTATTATTTTCAATAATATTTATATATACACTGTATGCATTGAGGCTTGTTTCCTAAATGCTTAGGAAACCATTTTATGCTAAGGAAAAGAGTAAAGTTTCCCCATTTTTTGCCATCTCATTAAGTTTTTATTCTATGACCTAGTTCCCTCTGAAAGAAAGATTTGACAGGAAGGTTTTCTGCCTTGAGCAGACCTGATTGGGCTCAGGTGTGTGAGGTTTGTAGATTGAAAAGGGGTTCAAAAAAAGCAATTGCAAAAAACATGACCAAATGTAAATGCAATACCTTATCATCATATTTCAGACTGGACATACTGGAGTCATAGAATGCTCTGCTAATCACAGTTTGCATTTTAATGAAGGCAGTCAAAGTTAAACGCCCAGGAGCCAACCACATTACACTGCTGTTAGTAGCTTTGACGCATTAATCCATACTGCATTTTACACTTGGTAGTGACTTTCTAAAATTGCAAAACCTAAATACTAACTCAAGGGATCCATTGGAAGCAATGTGGTACAATTAAAGAATACTGGAAAAAACACAAATAGTTATTTTGAAATAACACTTCAGTTCTGTATTTCCTAATTACCATTTTGTGCCAGACCTAAGCATTGAGTAAATCAGAAAAAAGGACCCAAAGATTGTATTGAAAATGTTTATCAATTCAAAACATAAATACATTGAGTAGAGTCTACTGTAATATATTGTGTTTTTAGAGGCAACACGCTACACAATACACATGGAGATATGTAGTCTGGATAAGAAGACTATCTCTGTCTCTTTTGGGTTTAGGAGCTGGATGCTTTTCATGTATCTCTGCCAATATCTTTGTTTTTTTAGCAGATAAAATATGAACATATTCATGGCTCAAGATATGTGCTCTTTGGAACCTTAGGAGCCCTGGAAATGGGATCATAATCCAAAATTGTGTAGCAGACCACTGAACAAGATCTTCCAGTATCCAGGTTGGTAATAGAAATGTGGGCACTCAGCTGTAGTAAACCTATCTGCTATTGCTGGCTCCGTGAAATTCACTGTTGCATATATTTAGTGTACTGTATATTTTAGTGTTAAAATACTATAAGAAAATCCTATTTATAACATCTGTAAAGTATTTAAACCAATTTGCAGTTCTTTCAACAAGACAGCAACTAGCAACTAGGCTCCGTGAAATTCACTGTTGCATATATTTAGTGTACTGTATATTTTAGTGTTAAAATACTGTAAGAAAATCCTATTTATAACATCTGTAAAGTATTTAAACCAATTTACAGTTCTTTCAACAAGACAGCAACTAGAAGTTAAAAATATGTCGAATACATTTAAAATGTCTTGATTTATAAAAAAAACACTTATAACACTTTCACCACCACACTTTCTTGTAGCATTTTACATCACACATCTATGTTCAGTAAAGAAGAAAAAGTAGTAGTGCTTACTTTTTCAGTTTCAGACTAAAATCCTTTTACTGAATGCTTCGGCCTTGGTTTTTTAAGATTCCAGATAATTCTGATGTACATTCACTTAACACAATTGGTCAGTACCTTTTTTAATCAACGCCAAGAGCATGAAGCTAAATTGGAACATTATACTCATTTTTAACATGGAATTATGGAATTGAGGAAAAACAGATAAATGAATCCGTAACTTTTTACATCTATCACAGAGGATATCATAGAGCATATGATGTGGTTTGAGAATTTGCTTTATCATAAGACAAAAGGCTGTTATTCTGGCTTCTCTTCCATCCTTGAGCACCTCTGGGTCAAAGAGAAATGACACACAGGCATTGTGGGAAGTTTCAGGCAATTCCCCCTGAGGCATTGTGTCAGGCACACGTAATGCCTATTCTCCAAAACCTGCTGCCTTTTGTTATGCTGATGGAACCAGCAGGCTCCGCTTTTTTGTTGAAGACTGAGAGACAGAGTAAGAGGAGAGAGAGAGGAGAGAGAGAGAGAGAAAAGACATCCTACTCTGGTGACCCAACCCCAGCTTCAACGTCAGAGCCTACAAGAGACAAAACAAGAGATCGTCAGCTGGGCACATACATCCACACACACGCACACTCTCCCAGCCACACGACACTACACTGTCCTTGGCTACACACTGGCTTTCTCTTCGAAGCTCACATCCAGCGGCACGGACAGAGCCTCCGCAGACTGAACTCATGGTGAGTGGACTGGACACTGGCTTGCCTCCCCTGAACCAAGGCAAAGCAGGTGACAGCAAGAAATCCATGGGCAAATGAACAGAAGGCAAGGGATGGTGAAAATAATGATAACCCTTAAATAAATGGTGCGTCGTGCAGCCTTTGTGACATCACATTGTCTCTAGTGGAGCAAGCGTTATCACATGGACAGAAAGACAGGAAACGGCAGTAACTGATTGCTCCTTGGCATTTGAAGAGACTTAAAGGCTTTTGCGGCAGCTCTGGGCTTCAGTATTTGGACAGCTCCCTTGCTCAGGAGTGTTGTGTGTGAGAAGCAGCAGCAAGCAGGCGGCGACTGAAGCTTCAGCAGCAGCCTTGTCAGCCACTTCCCCCCATTACTTCCAGCCTTCGGTCACACGAGCCCAGTCTGAAGAGCAGCAAGCCATGGCCAGCGTGCAGCAAGGAGAGAAGCAGCTCTTTGAAAAGTTCTGGAAGGGAACCTTCAAAGCTGTGGCCACTCCGAGACCAGAAAGCATCATTGTAGCCAGTATAACAGCCAGAAGGACTTTGAGCAAGTAAGTGCCTTCATTTCAAACCGATCCACTTAACTATACCTTTAACTTATGAGAAGAATAGGGCTATTTGTTGAATTTAAAACCGAACTTAAGACACATGGTTCGGATTAATTTGTTTCCTTGATTAATTTCGGATACATTTGTCTACTTTTTTTCAGTTAATTGATTCTGTCTGAGTTGCTGAGTGCATCATGTTATAAACAAAATATGAAAATAGAAAAAGGCCCAGAGGAACAGGCTGTCTTTAAAAGCTTTTTGGCTCCACACCTAACTTTCCTCATAACTGGCAATGGTTAATAAATTACACATCTTTGGGAAACGTCTGCGTGACCTGCCAAAAAGGGGCAAACTGTGTAAAAACTGCATTTTACCTACAAAAATTGATGAGTTTTCTGCCTTAAGATCTGAACTGTCTTCTGCCTTTGTCAGATATGAGCTGCTCTACTTATTTATTCTTTTTTTCACCAGTATCACAAAGGTGACTTGTTGGATTATCAGCAGCTAGCATTGGCAAGTGAAAAGTGATTTGTGATTCATTTCAAACCACTGTGTGCTCTGCCAGTATCTCTTATCCCAGCTTTGCTGTCTTTACATTCCGTAAAGATCCAGCGCTGACAACTCTTATCTCACCCAATCCTAATTCAGTCATTGGGAGGGCAGACCGTTATGAGAGGCTCATAAATGTTGACTGAAGTCTGCAGAAACCTTCTTTGCCATACAAAGTTGTAGCCAGTTTGTGTAGTTAGCAGATGAGCACTGTAGAATATAATACATTTGAGCATTACAATGTTTTTCAGGTCTTCCGATATTTTTATTTTTCAAACTATTCAGAGTTAAAACCCGTTTCTCTTTAAAATGATGACAGGCAAGCAACATTTAGTTGTTTTTTTCAAACCACTTGCATTATTTTAGAAATGTGGCTTTTATGTGAGTAAATAAATGAATTAGCTTGTAAAATAAACATACTGTATTTCTTCTTAATGTTTTGAATCAGAGGGGGCATAAGAGACACTAAACGTTTACAAAAGTACTAATGATATAAAATTCCCTAACTGATATATGTATGTAGTTAGCTACTCTTTGAATGTGTCAATATATTTTCCTAAAAAATAAATATCAAGACATGACAGTTTGCTAATACCTTACTTGCTTGGTGAAGATGATTACTTGTTTTTTTTAGGTAAGCTTCTTATTTTAACAAAACTGACTGATGAATTATAAGCAATTTGTACAGAAAATGTGAAATAAGGGAAATACTCCCTTCTGACAGAATAAGGGCTTTTCTTTGAAACTAATCTAGTATTTCAATTATATATTCAGCTGCATTTCCATAGCATAGTATAATCCAAATTTAATTACTTGTGAGAGTGGTTTTCCAGAACAAGCACAACAATAATAAAGTCTGCCCTCTGTTATTTTCTTATTATAGCTATATGGTTTCTATAATTTCTCTACATAAAGTGTAACCGAGCAATTTCAAACATGAATCCTGTCTGAATACTATAGAATCCAATATATTCAGTTTGATAGTAAAACATCATACAGTATACAGTATACCCCAGTAAAATTATGATCTTCATTCTTGTCACTTTTGCATTGTTTGATAGTTGTGCTCGATCTAACTCACCTCTTGTGTGTTTGAGAGGATGTTAGCAGGTGTGGCACACAGATTAAAAACCCAGCATCCTTTTTAAAAATCACATGTAACTAAGCCACCGTTAAGCTTTGGAAGGGTTTTCTTTCTCTTTATTGTATCCATTCTTAAATACACACTAGAACACAGAGAAGACCCTGAGGAACTTATGCTGGGAAAGATCCAAAGCCATTCATTGTTTAAAGGGAAATATCTCTTTCAACAGAATTTGTGGGTACTGTAATAGCAGATCGAAAGCATTCATCCCCACTGAGTAAGCAGGCCTCAATCTTCCACTTTGCTGAAGTAACATACTGCAGTGCATAAGCACTGAACTGGGCATTTGACAATGCTTGATAGCAGAGAAAAAGGAAACTACAGAATGGGGATGTGTAATTATTGGCCTTTCATTTTCTATGTATTGTCCTTTTCTTCAAACGTCACTGGAGCTGACTATAGCCTCCCCTGCTGACTGCCGTTGGGTAATTAGAGAGGTACCCCTCCCCCCACCCTCTTTCAACTCTGGGGGAAAAAAGGGTGATGTGTTCACGAACACTCCAGCTGGAGGGTTTCTCTCTGGGTCATTATATCCTGCAAGCTGTTTTGTACCGGGGTGAGGCTCATTAAAAATGCAACCAGTTTTGGAGGGGGAGAGAAGGTGGGGGAGGGAGGAGACCTAACCGGAGTTGAAGCAGATGGCAAGCAGGGAGATGGAAAGGGAGAAGAGGGGATGGCTAAGAGTGAGTGCCTCTTCCTGAACAGATGCTAGCTTGAAGAGGAAAAGAGTGAGGGGATTAAAAGCAAACTCCTGTATCAGCCTGATCTAAAGGACAAGGGATTACGTGTTCATTGAAAAAACATCCACCATGAAGGAAATTGTGTTTATGCATACACCCATCCATTATCAGCAAGCTGCTTATTCCTGGTTCGGACTTGTGACAACCTAGAGTCAACCTGCAAGCATTAGGCACAAGGCACAAGAGGGGATATCGGACCCTCAAAGAGTGCACAGACACTATTTACAGACACACATTAATGTAGAAACTGGAGCACATGGAGAAAGCCCATAGAAACACAGGAAGAATGTGCAAATCATAGTAAAGGCACCCTATCCCAGAAGTAAACCCAGGACCCAAACGTTGTGTGGCAGTATCATTCGCTGCTATACCGCTCTGCTACCCAGCCAGGGCTAAATAGTGCACATCTCTTTTCTTTGTGTGTGCTTGCTTGACTCATGCTGTGGTCTAGAGTACTTAGTGGTAGTGCGGAGGATATTAAACTGATGAGTATCTATTTAGCCGGTCCCACACTCTACCCACTAAAACTTTGCAAGAACTTTTGTTCATCCTGTAATTGCAGTTGCTCAAGCACAGTGATATGTATTGCCGGAGCACAATCAAAATGATGTGCCTGAGCTGAAATTGTCATCATGCAGATGTGCATGATGTGCATTGCTCAACTCAGTTAGACTTTACAGCGTCAAAGATGTTTTCTAAAACGGCATAAAATCCTCACTTTCCTCCAAGAGTCTGTCTTTCACTTTGCAAATGTTGAACTGGACTGTAGCATTTCTGGTTTTATACATTTCCTCTTTATTTGAAAGTTACTTATTTTTTAGAATAACTAAGCAACTGAGTGGTTCTGATGTTCAAATGTTTTTTTGTGCCTTTATACAAAATCTTCAGTATGAATATCCTTTAAGGCTGTTAAAATATAGTGCTTAATGGAAACAGAGATCAGAATTGTTTGCTTATTAAAATAATGCTTGATTCATGCTCTAAACATACAGTATCCCTTTATGAAGTGGATCCCCTTAAGAAAGACTGATAAATGTCCACAATGTCCTTTGATATAAGTCCCTTAAGATCTCCAAGCTTTATAGAGTAAAACTAGCAATGAGTTCAACCCAGCAATTTGCTGATTCAGTTAAGGATTAATTAAAATAAAGAGTTTGACTGCAACGCACACCACTCAGTGTGTGGGTCCCCAGGACGAGCATTAGCATTGCAACAAAAGGCACTGGGGTGCTGGTCACTTCAACCAAGCTCTTTTTATCCTGCCCTCTAACATAAGGAGAAGATTGCATGTGCTGAAAATGTGAAGTTGTCCTTGCGCTTTGTTTTTAATTAACGGGATTTTGATGATCCAACTCCGAGCAACGGACTTTGGTACTTTCAAAAGAAGAAAAAACTAAAGAATACCTGCTCCTTTTCCAAAAGTCCTCTCTATGCGGTCCCTCCGTACAGGTTTGGAAAATGGCTTGATGGGTAATCAGCTGACTATTTTAAACCAAAAGCCTTTATTTTGATTATAGGACTATAAGCAGATTCAGCCTGACAAACTAGCCTCTCTTAAAAGGTGTCTCTTGTTTGTCACACCCTTATGTACCTGAGCACAGACCTTCATTGAGAACTCCTTTGCCCAGTTAACTCAGGGCAAATATACCATTGGCCTTAATCAACACTGGCCACCTGGGAAATGTAGTTTGTGCTTATGGGCTCACCAAGCCACTGAATTTAAATATGCAAAATGATAAATATTTGATATATCTTAGACCCCTCCATTTCCATAGAGACCCTCTCTGTACCCTTGTCCCATATTGTGCCACAATATACACTATCTGAAAATAAGGGATATACATTTTACAAATTTAGCGTATTCTTATGTACATTCTTTAGCAAGCAATAGTTTTAAGGGAAATATATTTCTTTTCACAAATGAGGTGGAAAAATCTAGTAGGGGAATATTTTGCTTTTGACACATTTTTAACTCTTCGTCTTGAAAACGTACTGTACAGCAGCCTGAATGAATAACGAGACGTAAGGCTAGTAATGTCTGATTGCACATGTTGTCAAGCACAGTCTAATTAACTGTGCTGCTATTATGTACCTGATTGAAAGCCTTGGAGGCATACTGCTTCTTTCAAATCACATTTTTGTCATTTTGGCTCCAAATTTATTCCGTTACTATGGCTGTTTATTAAATGTAATTACAAAGCTCTTTTAAAAAGCTGTTGGGCCACCCTTGAAAAATCACTTTTAAGTTTAAAGTGATTGGGTTCCACCTACACAGCATTTTATCCAGCATTGAATTTAAATAAAATTGACATAAAAATGGACCAGTTACCAATCCAATGGTCACTGTGTTGTACCAGAGAATATATCAGAAGAGTATAATGTGATGGCTACAGCTGTAATGATGAATCAAGCACAAACTCATTTTTATTGTGCAGACAGAATACATAGTCCTGACCAAGTACAATACAATAAGTAACAATTAGATTGAAACTATTTTTTAGCATTCGTTATTGTTTATGCAACAGTAAGTAGGCTCAAGGGAGAGACCACCTCACCAAACCAGCACCATT